TATGTTTATGTTTTTTTTTTTTTATTCAGCAGGGATGCATTAAATTGGTCAACAAATTAACAGTACATTTTTACAAAATATACTGTATGTTTCAAATAAATGCTGTGGTTTTGAAATTTTCCATTCATCAAAGAATCCTGAAAAAAAATATTTACTTGTTTTTTTGAACACACACACACACACACACACACACACACACACACTCACGATTCGCTAAACTAAAGTGGACCAAAAAGAGATCTAACTCCAATTTCAAAATCAGGAATAGTGTAAATTAAAGAGAGCTGGGTGTTTATTTTTTTATAAATAAGGTTTATGAGTTTTCATAAAGTGTGAAAACACCCTTACAAGCAATGTAGAGCTGCGGATCATTTGACATTTCTAGTTACTGCCCTCACATTCTTATTAGCTGACTCCAGACATACTTGACTCAATCATGCGATCCTTCATTAGATCTCCACTGCATGTTAACACATCAAGAGAATCGTCTGAGAGTCGTACCTTTAAGACAAATATAAAAGGTTTACAGACACCATCAAATGATATAACTTATATTAGTTTTACTGCAGGTTTCATGTTCATAATTATATAATTTGTGCTCCATTCAGTGCCTAATTACAATATGACTTTTGATATATGTCGTCCAAAAGTTAGTAAGACTATAATTGGATTTAAAATTTATGTTACTTATAATGATAAACAAAGATAGAGTGTGAAATTAAATATTTATCTGCTCAACATACTAGTTTAGTATACTGTTACCCTCTTAGCCTATTATCTCTTTGATCTATTATTTTTGATCATTTAAGAACACTGACATATTAAAATATGAAACAACAATTAAATTGATTACATTTGATCTATTACTTGATAATTTGCTAAGAAGATGCAAATAATAATTTGCACGTACAATGTCGGTAAAGTTTTTGCAGCAAAAACACTAATGTGTTATGAATTGTAAACGCCCATTAAAGGGATCATATGATGCGATTTCTATTTTTCCTTTTCTTTAGTGTGTTATGTAGCTATTTGTGCATGTATAAGATCTGCAGTGTTACAAAGCTCAAAGTCTCCCACAAAAGGATTTATTCTATCTAAAAGAGAAGGCTGATCCAGACCGGGCTAAAAAGCCTCATTCAAACACGCCCCCACATGTCTATGTCCCGCTGTGGAAATATTAGCATAATGCCGCCCAAATGTGCACGCAAAGAAAGAAGGCGTGGTTTCAGGAACAGCAGTAGTGTTGATGCAGCCATGTCAGGGAAACACTGTGTGATTCTGACATATTCTGTTACACCAAATACACAAAATAATGATCTTTAAAACAGCATCATATGACCCCTTTAAAGCATCTTACTCATGGACTCAGTGGTGCAAGCTCATTAATCTACCCTTTGTGCTTCAAACATGCAGCCTTGCAGTAACCACCCATATTTCAAAGCATTAGGTTACGGTACTCCTCCGTTTTACACAAAACACCTTCCCAAAATCCAAATGATCTTTTACCGCAAAGTACAGCGCAACAGTTGACTTTTGACACGAAAACATTAAAATGATGGGCCAAGATATACAGCAGTGTGCTGATATACAGCAAGATAGGATTTGTAATGTCCAACATTAGCAAAGAACAGAAAGGTTAGATTTGTCATTAGATTTGGAGATTTTTCAAGTAAAATACAGTTGGGGCTCATAGCTTGTGCATGTTACAATTGGAAAATAAAGAGGCAAAAAAGAAAAAGAAAAAGAAAAAAAAAAGTTTCGTAAGGTGAAATAATAGTCTTCTTAGATTAATTAGGTGGCTAAAATTGTTATTATATACCTGTAAGTGCATGCGCAGGAAGCTTTTCCTCTTGGTGTACTCAAAATTGTTCCTCATGAGCAAGTATAGAAGGGCAGACGCTTCCCCACGTAGGACACTTTGTTTAGACATACAGCACTTCAAGACTTCATAGCACAGCGAACCACACAGAGTTACACGGCCCTTAAAAAGGGGAACCTGGAACTAAAATATATAGATCGAGACACAAACACATAAATGGTCAAGTAGGAAATTCTGAAACATCTTGAAAACATCTCATGTTGTTGCATTTGACGGTTGTGGTCATTCTTTAAACCTATAGTTTACCCAAAATAAAAACTATTTCCATTAACATTATCCTTTGTTCTAGGGCTGTGCAAAAAATCGAATGCGATTTTCATACGCATCTCGTCAGTAAAGCCGCTCCTGGGATTAGTAGTAAATCTCCAGCACGTGCTTTCAGATGGAGCGGCATTTACTACACAGAGC